TACTTATCCTGATCGTAGTCCAATTCTGAGAGAATTCTGGGGAGGAACTCAAGGCAGAAACCTATAGGTCATGGCTTGTTCTCCATGACTTGCTCAGTCTGCTTTCTTATAGAACCCAGGATCATCTGCTTGGGCTGGCACTGCTCACAGCGGACTGGGCCAGCGCACTCCAGTCATTAATCAAGAAAATGCCCCCACCCACAGGCTTGTCTACAGGCCAGTCTGATGGAGGTATGTTCTCCCTTAAGGTTTCCTCTTCCTAGATGACCCAAGTTTGAATCCAGATGAAGAAAAAACTGAGCAGCACAGGGAAATAAGGACAGAGGGTGACAGACTGACATATATTTAAGTCCATGTGAGGACTCCCAGAAATGGGAGGGTTTTGAACAAAAGAAGAATGTGGTCTTTGGGAAGAAGCAGAGAGACCAGCAGAAAGACTATTGCGATTGTCACCCCATGTCTTATACCTGCCACTAGATCTCTTAAAGGCCTCTCCACATGCTATACTCCTCTGTTCACGCCCCAGACAAATTATCATCTCCTCCAGATCAGAAACTACATATGAAATTCCTACTCTTTTATCATTATCCACCAATTTTAATATTATTACTTAACTAAGTTAATCAGTAACTCTCCCTCAGTAGTGATAAAAAAGAACCTCAAGTGCCTTGAACTTCCAATCAGTTCCTTCTTCTTACATGTTATTTTAGCCCTATAATCTATCTTTTTCATTCTTCATTAGTATTACTTATTATTTCTTCTTTCAGAAAATGAGTGTTTAGATGTAACACATAGTTGGAAGTTCCTTGTTTTTTATTCTTTCCTGAGTTCAATTCCATCCTTCAGGAAGTGAGTCTTAAACTTGACTGCAGGAGGCCCTTCTGTATTTGTGTTGCTTTCATTGGTTATTAAATAAACTGCTTTGGCCTAGTTGATAGGGCAGAACTGAGATAGGCAGGGAAGACAGAACAGAATTCTGGGAAGAAGGTCAGAGTGGCAGACACCATGATTATCCTGCCCGAGATGGACCCTGGTTAGACTCATGCCAGTAAGCCACAGTCAAGTGGCGATACATGTTAATAGAAAGGGGTTAAGTCAAGATGTGAGAGTTAGTCAATAAGAGGCTAGAAATAATGAGCCAGGCAGTAAGTTAATTAATACAATTTCTGTGTGATTATTTCTGGGGTTAAGCTAGCTGGGTGGGACGAAAAGCAGGCCCGCTCCTCTCCCTCAACACTTGACATCACATCAGAACCACCTACGATGGTTTTGTTTTAATCCAATGCCCAGTCTGTACCTCAGAGCAATTACTCAAGAGTATCTAAGTCTCCTCCTGTAACTCTGATGTGCAGTCAGGACTGAACACTTCCCTTTTACAAAGATCCTTTCACAAAAACCTCTTAGTAAGAAGTCCCAGCCATTGCTCTTGACTGGAAATGTTTGCAAAGTATCCACCTCCATTACAGAATGATAGTGGGGGTAGATACCAATTTCCACATTGACAGTTATTTTCTTTTACCACGTTGAATCCCAGCTTCTGCCTTCTACTATCCCTGAAGTACGCTGTCAGTCTAACATCTACAAAGTTGGCCTAATTTGTCTTCTGACTGCTTTTGAAGTTTTCTCTTGCTCTTTGAGGTTTTCTAGTTTCATTAATGAGGGGGAACCCTGCAGGTGTCAGTGCAGGCAGTGATCCATGAAGAGATGAGAATGAAAACCCAGATCAGACTGACTTCATCAACCTGAATCAAACTTTGGGGAATCTAATGCCAAGCGGTTCATTGTCAGCTTATTTAAAAACACAGCACAGTTTGAGAAAATATTTCCAGGCAACAATCATACCAGTCCAGGTTCACAAAAAATCTTAAGGTGTGACTACGTAGAAACTCCTTTACAAAGTACATGTGACCATGAGGGTGGGTTCTATAGCTAAAAGGCCTAGAATCTAACTAATATGGTCTATGACTGAGACAGTATAGAGGTCAGCAGGCCATAAAGTACATGTAACATCCCCCCCCAAAGATGGGCAATGGTCTAGGATGCCACTATAGCAAAAGGTGGGTGAGGTATGCCTCCACAGAGAACAAAAATGTCACCAGGTCCTTAAGAAAATCCACTCGCAGTCTTCCAGGTGGAAAAACACATACTTTGTCTCCTCCATTGAGAAGAGGCCCCTGTGTGTTTAACATTACTGGTTTTCCTAGCAATCTCTGGGGTACAAGGAACATTGTGTTCCCAATACCTTAAGGTGTGCCTAAATATGGAAATACTCTATTTGAAAATGAAAAAAATGATTAGAATTTACTGTATTTTCTAAATCTGGGGATTTATATGTTTTAACATCATGGAAAATTCTCAGTTTTCTGTTATTATGTCTTTACTTCATCTTTATTTTCGATGTGTGTGTGTGTGTGTGTGTGTGTGTGTGTGTGGTATGGTGTACATGTATGTTCACATGTATGTGGGTGCATGACAATGGGGGGTTCATGTGTACAAGTGTGCATGTCAAAGATCAAACTTAACATAGGGGGGTCTTCCTTGAATGCTCTCTCTCTTCTATAGACTGAGGCTGCTTGTTGATTTCCCAGACACCCAGACCCGAAATAATTACACAGAAACTATATTAATTACAACACTGCTCAGCCAATAGCTTAGGCACCTTATTAGGTAACTCTTACATCTTAAATTAACCCATTACTATTATTTTATATTTTACCATGAGAGTTGTGGTTTACTGGTAAAGTTCCAGGGCATGTATCTCCTTGGGCAGCTATATGGCATCTCTCTGACTCTGCCTTCTTTTCTGCTCTGTCTCTGTTTGGAATTTCTGCCTTGCTGTATTCTGTGCTGCCATAGTCCCAAAGCATCTTCTTTATTAATCAATGGTAATAAAATATATTCACAGCATACAGAGGGAAATCCCACATTGCCTCCCCTTTTCTGTCTAAATAAAAAGGAAAGTTTTAACTTTAACATAGCAAAATTAGGTATAACAAAACAGCTATCAAGCAAGAATTATAGTTACAGTATTTGGCAAATTAAGAAAAATATTCTATCATTTATCCTATCGTTTTGAGTCTAAAGTTTTATAGCTAATATATCTTTTATAGCTATAACTATCTTTCTTCATCTCCATCAAAGACTCCAGAAGGCTATAATATTACCTGAGTAAACAGGAAGTGCATTGTAAGCAACTTCAAAAACTCTAGAATTGGCAGAGACATCTTGCTGCCTGGAAAGTCACTCAAAGTTCTTCTGTACCATTTGGGCATTAGTCTTCAGCCTACAAGCCCATAGTATTCAGCAGACTTTTCCATGAAACAGGAAATTTCGAAGCCAATTTCACCTATATTGGCAGTTTGTCAGTCACTTTCTTCTGTGTGCTGAAGAACGTCTGGCAGACTCCTTCATGAAGCAGGAACCCTGAAGGACCATCTCACCTTCTTTAGGCAAGTTCAGCAGACAGTTCTCTGTGCATCCTACATGTCCAGTTTATACAGCATACCATCAAGGAGTCCAGGCAAGAATGGTTTCTTGCACAAATTGTCACTTTGACAATGTGAAATTACCTTGTCACATTGAAGGCAAATTCCATAACAAGTTTCTTCAATGCCCATCAGCCTCTCTAAAGTAATTGGTGCTTCCAGAAGCACCCATGTCTCACTGTCAAGAAAAGTCTAAGTTCTTAAAGCATCTTAAATGCCATATTCTGTATGTTTCTGAAAGATTTGAAGAATACCTATCCATCTGAAATATATCTATCTCTGTATATCTAGGAAACCTAACTAACATGACTACAAGTTTGACTATACTATGACTATCTATTAATCTGTATCTTTTAAATATACATTACATTTTCAAATGAGCTGCACAAACACAATACCTTAAACAAGAGCAGAAATACATATAACAAAATTGACCTTAAATTTTTATCAATAGATCAAGATCTGTACCAATGCAGAATATTCATCTCTATGTCTTATCCCCCTTTAAATATAAACAAACATTTATAAACAATATCTTGGAATTTGAGTGTAGCTCTCTCCAAACTGTTTGCTGCTTTTTGTTGACTGAAGTATTTTGGGGAGGTTCATGGAGACCTCTCAGGTGGTGTTGGTCCATTAAACCACACATTAGTCTGGAAGCAATCCACAGGTTCTCATCCTCTGTGAAAAAAAAGCAGAACCTCTTTTCCAAAGCAACAAATCCTTAGACCCAAATTTTGAAGTCAAGAAACCTTTAAAGTATATATGTTGGTTTAGCTTAGCAGTCCCCAGAATCAAATATCTCTCTGTACTCAGCTCACTCACAGTCAAAATATTCAAAGAAAACACAATAATATACATAATCCAGAGTCTTTGTGTATATTCCATCTTTACATGGCTTGTTTTTCTTACTCTATTACTTTTTCTACAAGTTTAATATTTACTTTATCATCTTTACTCCTTTAATCTATGACTGTCTGTACTCTTTTATATTATAATTGTCTATACTCTTTTACCTCTCTATCTCAAGCCTACATACATTGATCTAACACTGTGGCCCATTTAGAGGTCTTTTTCATCTGAATTTGTCTTTATTGCATATGTATCTGTAATTATTTTCTGACTAGGAGCACTTTTTTTAAAATGCTAAGTAGGTGTGGTTAGGACGAACTCTACAGCCCTGCCTGTTGACTCTTCCTAGTCCAACATGCCAGAGATATGTTCACTGCCTCTGAGAGCCATGCACAACACCTCAGTTCCAGTGTTACAACAGGTCTATGTCACCATTAAGCAATTTGTAACACATTGTTCACAGACCCCAGTTAAGTGCTCAGCCTCCTCAATGAGCCAAAGTTGTGCATGTAACTAGCACAAACCACCAGGAAGCCCTCCCCTAAAGAAGCCACATAGCCTTCATAGCCAATGATAAGTCTCTATTAAAGGAACACAGCACCCCTGCTTACTGCCAGCAAACAGGGCCCATCCAGAAAAAAAAAATATATGGTTACCAAGAAGCTGGGCTAAACTCTGTATTTTTGTGTATAGAATTTCTTTTCAAGCTCTCTCAGGTTTTATGTGGACGTAGTTGCCCACCTTGGTGCCATTTTGTTGATGGAAGCTGCTTGTTCATTTCCTGGCCACCAAGACCTGAAATAATTACACAGAAACTATATTAATTACAGCACTGCTTGGCCAATAGTTTATGCTTCTTATTTAGTAACTCTTACATCTTAAATTAATCCATTTATATTATTTTATATTTTATCATGAGGTTCGTAATTTACCTGTAAGCTTCCAGAGCAGCTGTCTCCTTTAGCAGCTACATGGAATCTCTCTGACTCCACCTTCTTTTCTCATCTATCTCTGCTTAGAATTCTTGCCTTGTTCTATTCTGCCCTGTCACAGGCCCAAAGAAACTTCTTTATTAACCAATGGTAATAAAATATATTCACAGCATACAGAAGGGAATCCCACATCACTCCTCTTTATATATTTAGTCAGATCTCTGAACCTAGAGCCCACCAATTTCAACTAGCATAGCTAGACAGCCTAACTGTGGAACTCAGGTCTTTATCGCCCAGTGCTGAGATTACAGACAATGGCATATCAGCCTAGAATTCACAAGGATTGAGGGATCTAAACTCCAGTACTGATACTTGGATGGAGAGTGCTTTACCCACTAAACCATATCTCCCGCCCCTCCACAATTCTTTATATGGCATCCTCACAAAGTCTCATCTCACATACCCAAAGCCCTTCTCTTGCTACTATGCATGTTTCTTAATCTTGCTTTCTTTTTGTCTCTTCCAAAGATCTCCCAGTTCACTTTTTTGTCGGTCATCCTCAGTCTGCTACTTTACATTTTCAATGTTTTTATTGTCTATTATTTTATGTTTTAACCTCTGCTACTTCTTTTCCCAAAACTGCGCTATTTAATTCTTCTTGACTCACACTTTATTTAGAGAACATAGCCAGTACTGTGGAGAATTCTCTTGTTGCTCTGCTGACTCTGACTTGTGGTGGAATGGTTGCTTGTATGTTCTGTAATTTGGGAGCTGTGATCTCATATTTGGCAGAGTTTTGGCTGCAGGAATCCCATACAATCTGGTTTTAAGGCATGTTCCTCCAGAATTTCCTGGACCACAAGAAAAAAAATATAACAAGATCATTCTTATGAATTCTCTCAGCCACCTCCCCCTGAAGCCAGCTCAGCATTCTCCTCAGACATTTTGTTTCTCTGGCTTTGTTTTTAACCATTGGGTGGATTTCCATTCACCATTTTACAGAGAGTACACACCATGAGAGTTTTGTCTGGAACAAGAATCTTAGTACAAATCTCCGGCTGCAGGAATTGCTAATACCTCTGCCCCTTTTTCTTGTGGTTCTCAAGGAGAAGCCCTGTGCCTAACTGACCCTGGAAGCTCCTCCTAGGTTAGTAAGTACCCGCTTGACACACCTATTTCAGGGTCTCTACATTTCAGTTCATAGACTTTTCCAATCCTTGATTCCTAAAATCTGTACTAGGCCCTCAGAGTGGTGTTCATTCTGGTTGGTTTCACACTTTCAGGTTGTTCAGTTTTGGTTTTGGTTTGATTTTTGTCCATTAGAAAAGACTTTGAGGGTAATTTCCACAGGTGGAAATCTCCATAGCTATTTCTTTTAGCTTCTTTGAAGAATGAATTGCAGGTTGACTCTGACTCACATATTTGAGCAACCAAACTTTTTAGTAATTGCCATTTGTTAAATATGCAATAACATGTTTTGTATACAAAGATTGTGGGGAGGAGGAAAGAGAGAGGAAGGCAGTGAAAAGAAAGGAGGAAGGGAGGGAGGGAGGGAAGGAAAGAGGGAGGGAGATAGGGAGGAAGGGAAAGGAAGTGTTAGGCTATGCTAAACACTGGCAAGGTTGTAATTTAATTTCTTGCTACACTCTTCTTCAACCGTGAGATGCATATGAGTGAGGTCCATAGCTGTCAGGTTCCTCTCAAAATTAACACATCCCAGGGAAATCTTCGGGCAGACTCCAGTATTAATTACCTTGAACTAGGGCTGGAAATGTGGATCAATGTAGAGCACTTGTTTATATGTGAGGCTATGGGTTTGGTCCCCAACTCTGCAAAAAAAAAAAATCAAAATATAATCATAAAACCTGTGAGTATATTTGTTAATAATCTGTGCTAACAACTAGGAACTGATTTAACTTTTTATTCCTAATGGTAATATATAACTCTAGATAGACTTAATTGGCCTTCCATTTAATAATTCATTTAGTGAAACATTAGAGGTGCAGACGAAATTTAACAAGAAAAAGGTAAAGACGTTAGATAAAATTAGGTTTTTGTAATAAAAAGCTGTGGATTTCTATTACTCAGATTGCTTCTAACACAAATCAGCTTGGCTCATTGAAAGATGAGAAACTTTGTCTAGCAGCTCCAAGCCTTCTTTGGGTTATAGACAGCCCCCACGTTTTCTGTCCACCTTCCTCTAATTCATGCCTGCTGCACTCTGTCTGAACAGCCACATCCTTGTCTCTGAAGTACATAGGGTTATCACCACATCTTCCTTTCTTATATGTTAAATATATAAATAAAAAGCCAGACTTACTACAGAATTAACATCTAAAATGTTTGCTTTCGGAACTGTGGAATTTTTACGATACAGAACCCACACAAAAGCAAACTAAAATTGATATATTGTGCCCTACCCCCTCGGTCCAAACTCTTAGCAACATGGAGAAAGGGAATCAGGGTTTCCAGCCTCTCCCAGGTCTCCACAGCTGGCTTTGGGCTAGAATCCAGGTAAATGCTTGATGACAATGATTGCCCTGGTCATAATCATCATTATCATCAAAACCCCTGCTGTCAATTGAGTACATGCTTCTCCAGTGCAGTTTGGAGTCCTGAAATAACCCCAGCAATATTATTATTGTCATGATTATCCTCCTTTTATACATGAGAAAGCTAGAATACATAATTCAATCAAGGTCACACCAACCGTACATAGTGGCTTGCATCACATTTTCATAAACTCTTCTGTACAAGCGGAGAAATTAGAAAAGTTTGTCACCCCTCTGGGTAGAGCAATGCTGTGGGAACACAACTTAAGCAGGGTTCCACCCACAACTGCTTCTCCTGGGTACAGAAGCAGAGGTGCCAGGGAGTCTACAACCTGAATAATAGCATGCATGAGCCCACACATCTGTGATTTCAAATCTTATGACCTTCCCAGCTTCTGTGACTCCCAGAAATGATCATTTAAAACCCTCTGGGTTTGCCTCTCAAGTCCTTAGGATTTCTCTCATTTCCTTCCAGCCAATTCTAAGCAATTTGAACTTTCCTCTGCGGAACATTGGCAGGGTTGAGCTTTAGACTGTAATGGTTGATTCTAGCCATTTGCCACCATCTGCTGACAAAAGGGGCTCACGGTGCTGGTGAGGAGGTTTGGCACATACAGGCACCCGATACCAAGCTCGATGACATGACTTCAAGCCTAGAACCCACATGGTGGAAGGAGAGAACCAGCTCCTGTGAGCTGTCCTCTGACCTCTTCAGACACACAAACACACATGGTAAGGAAGCACATGTGAAGACAAATGTGTTAAGTAGTTCCCACAGCGCTCTCTTCCCTACGCAAGCCACGCTAGTGGCAGGAACGGTTAAAGGGAGTACGGATGGTGCAGCTTCGTCTTGGCTACCATAGGAGCATGGTTTTACAGCAGAGCTACAAACAAGTAAACCGGGCCTCCCATGCCCACCCTGGAGTGGCAACATGGCTGCCCAACAGCAGCCCTGCACAAGGGCTCACTAATGGAAACCCTGACAAATGGCAAAGCATAAGCAGCAATAGCAGGCACTGGGGTAATAATTTATTTTTAATGCCATGCTGTCTTTAACAGTGCAATTTCCTCCGGGGTGTTTGCTTTGAGATTGCAAGATAATTACATCTCAGAAACCAGGCTAATTACAGTTAACAGCCTGAAAACCAAAGGAACCCTCCCCTCAATGCCCCCCATTCTTTTTTTTCCACTAGACTACTACACAAATTCCAGTTAAGCCATGGAGCATCACTCAGGAAACCCATCTGACGAGGGCTAAGAGGTCCTCTCCCCGTTCCTCACAGCACATGGATCACTCACAGCGGTGTGGAGGAACAGGACCTGGTTAACACAGCCTTGGTGATTCAAATAAATAGTGATGTGATCAAGAGAAATAATGACAAGAATTTTCCGCCAAAAATGAAGCCTAACTCTTTCTAGGGAAAATCTGGAAGCAGGGGAGAGTAGGTGTCTGTGTGGCAGGGGTGAGGTTACCTGTGGTCCAGACACAGCTGAAAGGTGCTCTCAAATAAATAATCAACCAAAGTGGGTCATGTATAAAACTAAGGACTGAAACCAATGTGAGAACTGATCCAGCCAGATGCCATCAGTCCTTAATAATTTAAAATCTAAACCGAGGTATCATGGCTATGAGACCCTCAGAAATGGCAGTGCCATGGCTTGGCCGGTCGCTCAGAAAATACTCCCTACCCTTTCATAGACACTGAGCAGGGTTACACATGTAAACATCCGGACATTTTTATTTTGTCATCTTTCCAATCCTAAATTGTAATGCGCTCCCCAGACTGCTGTGGCATGGATACGATTTGTCCTCCAGGGGCGCATTTTCTGAGGTTGGGCGTACAGTGTGGCATGCTAAGGTCATAGAACATCTAAGAGAACAGGCCTAAATTAGGAAGGCAATTAGGTCAAGGGTGCCACTCGAGGAGGGATTGATGGAGGTCTTGAGACATCAAGCTGTTTCAAGGGAGTCCTGAAACCTCAGCTGAATACTTCTTGCACACGTACCCCTCACCTCTTTTACACATAATTCTGCCATGGTCGTGCATAAAACCCTCATCAGAGCCAACTAGATGCCAGTGTCCTTCCCACAAGCCTATGAACGGAGCAAACCTCTTGGCTTGATAAAGTTCCTTAACCCCTGGAGTTTTGTGATCGCCAGCTGAAACACTAAAACTAAACTCCACTGTGTCTTAGCTGAGATAAAGACTCTCTCCTGGGCTGTAGAGATTGATCAGTCAGCTAGATGTTTGCTTTGCAACTGTGAGGAGCTGCATTGAATCTCTATAACCCATGTCAAAAGTCCTGCCTGGTGCATGATGGAGAAGTGAGGCTCGCTGGCCAGTTAGCCTACCCTTCTGGTGAGATCCAGGCCAGGGAGAGACCCTGTCTCAAAACAACAACTCCCGAGGACCACCGCTCAGGGTTGTCCTTTGACCCCCACATACATGCGTACACACCTTGTTACACGCGCACTTTCGCACACACAAATACACATCCACGAAGACTCTCTCCTCTGAATAGCACTTCTACTCCCAATACTCCCAATTTTTTAATAATCTGTTTCCTGATTTTCCCCCCAGTTTCTGTTAGTTTTAAAACATGGATGTCAAACCCCACAACTGCTCTGGTTTATATGACATCTCATGTGATTTTAGGACTACATTTTCTTTACTTTTTCAATTTATTGTTTTATTTTATGTGTATGATTGTTTTGTCTACATGTATATCAGTATACCATTTGCATTCTTGGTACCCAAGGAGACCAGAAGAAGGCATCAGATCCTCTCAGACTGGAGTTACAGACAGTCGTGAGCTGCCATGTGAGCACTGGGAATTGAACCCAGGTCCTCTGGAAGAGCAACCAGTGCTCTTAACTACTGAGCCATCTCTCCAGCCCCAGAACTTGTATTTCCTTTGGTCTTTTTGTTAGGGATAGGGAACCAAATTAGGAGAGAGAAGAGGAAATCCAACATTCTGAACTTAATGTGGAATCCATTCTCCTCCCTCCAATAACCGCAGAATGTGTCTACTGATGTCCATTGCCAAATTCGAAACTTGCGAAGCCCAGGCTTCTCCGTCAGGTGCCTACCGAGCAGTTTTCCGGCTGCGCAGATCTCACCAGAAGCCCAGCAGATTGGTCTGCCCATCAGCCTCCTTGCTAATGGTTCCCAGTTGCTGATCATGTAAAGTCCCCTAGCAAATGGTAGTGACAACTCCTTGGTGACACCTCCTGATCGCGTTCATTCCTTTAACAAACACATCCTGACTGCTGAGGGAGAGGAGCATCCCCTTGTTCCTATTTACCTGGTCTTTCTCTCTTCTAGAGGAAGGAAAACTCATCTTGGCTGATGAGGACCCGCAGTGGGAGACATACATGGCAGTAGTGGGCAGGATACCCTTGTTTTTAGACTAAATCAGGACCCCTTGCCTTCCTGCCTCAGACCCAGGCAGCTCCTGGTGGAGAGGTGAGCCACCCACTCTTGTTAGTCATTCTCTGCTACTCTGAGAATGTCCTGGGCAATGGGCCTTGGGATGGGCCAATTTCATTGGTTCTTCATCTTCACATAGCCATTCCCAACAATTATGGTCCTAAGATTTGGGTTAGGAGTGATGGAGACGTGAGATTCTCTTTATCCTCACACCTATGCCATTTTCCCAACCAGTTCTACCAGCCCTAAATCAGCATTGTCATCCAACAGACTTTCAATTTCAACTTAGCTGCTATAAATTTAGCTTCCTTGTAAAAATTTTGCGAGGTAGGGAAGCTAGACAGGATATAATTTGACTATCAAGCCAAAAAACCATCACAATAGCCAAACCCACTAGACAAACACCCTTCTCCAAAACTCATTGTCCCTTGTGTCTGGTCCTTGAGATAAAAAGATAAGAATCCCCTTGGAGGGGCTCAAGAGCTAGAAGAACATTTCGCCTACCTTGCAAGTTAAGATTCCATCATCATTATCTCAAAGAAGCTGTGTCTGCCATGAAAGAACATTTGAAATGAATTCTGGGATGTTTAAAAGGGATTTCATTACAGAACTTTGTAACAAGGAGGTCAGGGCAACTAAGTAACAAGTTATAGGGAGACTTTTGTTTTTTCAGATGGGCCTCAGGAAAAAAATGATTCACTTAAGAAGGGAAGACATTAAACCGGGAGACAAAGGAAACGGGTCTCCTACAAGCTGCAGCATCCACACACAGTTCTGGCCAAGGTGAAACCCCCAACTGTGGGTTGACTGGTTTTTCTGTAAAAGTGCCAAGAGACTGCCCACAGCCAGGAGGCTCTTCCTTCCCCACCCCCACCCCACACACACCTCAGATTGGAGAGAGGGGCTTGTTGGCATCCATTATGGTCTCAAAGGCCAAGTTTCTACTTGAAGCTGCGAAGGAGAACGCCGTGCTGGACAGTTAAAGCCGCTTTCTTCGTGAGAGTCTCCATGTCTCAGGCCTCATTCTCTTGAACAAGTTTAGGGCAGGGAAAGGGCAGGTTTGCTGTGTAACAAGAATACTGTTTCTGAATCGTCCTCATAAAGTTGGGTCAGCAGTCAACCACAGTTAGCCTGTACTTCCGTGAGCAGAGAAAATCCCATTACTAGGGTCTCTGCTGGTCACATAAAATGGGCAGGGCACAGTGGGTGGCTCAGGCTGAGCAGTTCCATGGCGACCTCACAAGGTTAAGCTGAGAGAGGAAGGAAGCACCGAGTGAAATGCTGAGGCCGAATCTGAGTAGGATTAAATTTTAGTTGGTAGCAATGATGAGAAAGGAAGTAATGCTTTGTGTAGAATTTTAAATACTTTCAAAATACTGTATTTGAAATTGGATTTCTGTTCATCCTCTAAATTGGACAATTTTAAATATTTTAACATATTTCAAATATGTTAAATATTTTTTAAATATTTTAGAGCATGTCTAAACAACTTTAAATACAAACCTGTGTTTCAGATATGTCTCCCTCAGTCTGTGTGACTTACATCATATAACTCATTAAAGCTTATCAAATAGTAGTTTATTTAAGCTGCAGAAAAAAATGCAATAGAAAAGTATAAAAGGCCCTCACCCATTAAGCTCCGATGGGCTGGCAGATGCTGTCCATTTAGGAAAGGTCCAGGAACAATTTTAGGTGAGGAATAGCCTTCCCTAATTACCTTTACCCCCACGAATTGTCTTGAGTTCAGCTGTGATCCCCTAAAGAGACACTCAAGGTAAGCACATCGTGCCATGTGACTGCGGCGACCGCTCTGCCTGCATCAGGTTTCGGCCTCCACGCCATCACCAGTGATTTTCTGTTTATGAATCCATTAACTCAAAAAACCTGTTTTTCTATAATTGGACCTCAGATGCACGGAATTGGCTTCATCATAGGCCTTGATAGATGGCACTCCTGTCACTGGTCAGCGCCTGGCTGCTTTTATTTAGTTATTTTTAATAAGTTATTAAGAATTCATGAGTGCATAATCCGAAAGCCAAAAGGACCTCCAGCCAGCCATATGCTTCCGGCCATCCCACTCCCCCTGCCTGCCTCCTTTCCCCATTCCACACAAGCATCCTTTAGAATCTCAGGTTGATTCCCTCACTTTCCTCTGCATATAGCTTATAATATTAAATATTAATATGTATACACATGTTCTACATTAGCATTTTAACTTAGTTTTGGTATCGTGCTTAAAGTAACATTTAGAGAAGCACTTTATTATAAGCATGATATTGTTTAGACTTATCCGTGTTGTTGGAACTTGCCGTGGTTTGCTTTGGTGGGGTTACTGGGACAATCTGTAGAATAACTATGCTATCATTCATTCTCCATGTCCTCCTGCCAGATAGGCACTGCAGGTTGCTTATAGGTTTTTGCTATAGTGGACACTGCTGCTGGGTTATTGCTGCATGTGTTTCCATACATGCCCGGACTTTCTCTCGGGTGTGTACTAGGAAATAAATTGCTGGTTGGAGAAAGCACGAATCATCTGCTCCTGAACACAGTTGCAGCCTCAACATCAGATAATGTCACATTTTCCCAAGATTTATTATATTCCTAGTCGGCATTGTCAGACACTTTCATTTTTACCTAACTAAATAAACACATTAAATAACTCTCATTGTAGCTCTGATTTTCCTTTTCCTGGCCATTAATGCTATTGCACATCCCTTTACATGTACATACAGTAAAGTTTTTTTCTTGCCTGCGTGTTCCTTCCATTTTTCTACTGGGTTGTGTGTGTGTTCTTATTAACTTAGACGAATTGTTTACATATTTTAATGTTAATCCTTCATAGTTCTGCATATTCTGAATACCTTTCCGAGTTTAAACTTGCTCTCATTGCTTTTAATATCATCAGATGGTCGATCAATGCTCAGTTGCTACTGGGGGAGGCAATGCCCCAGCTTCACTTATTCTATGTTGATAATGGATAAGCATTTTTTGGTGACTTTCTTTCTTAGTGATCTGTCATCACTGATAAAGCATGCAGTTCTCTGTTCCTTCCATCTTTTTGCCTATCCCTGCATCAACCCATAATTTCTTTTGCTGCTATTTTTCAGAAATATTCTAACTACTTCTGGCTCTTTTCACCTCTTCCTAAAAAGTTTGAAATCATCCTAGAAAGCACCAGTTTTCAAGTGTCTTGCATCTGTAGGTGAAATCAAAAATCTGGGGGCTTTCTAAGATTTTTTTTAATTCCTTGAGAAGTTCATGTGCGTTTACAATGAAATATGATCATAGAAATCCTCCAGTTATCCCTTCCAGCTCTCGCATATCCTCCCAACAGTTTCCCCACAGCTTACTTTTGCTTTTAGAACCCACAAAGTCCCACTGGCGCCGTCCATATGTGCACAGGTGTGGGACCACCCACTGGAGCATGAGAAACCTGCCAGTGGCCACAGCCTCAAAGAGTGATTCTCCCTTCCCCCAGAAGCCTCTATTAATCACGCATTTCCTCTAAAGAGATCACTCCTTGGATTGTTCCAGATGTATTATATTTGATCATTAGAATTTTATACACCTGCTTTCTCTTTAGTTTGCTTTATAGTTATATGGAGAAATGCAAGTGACATTGTTCTTTTGCCAAGCCACCATATTGAAGTCTCTTATTGCTTGTAATAATTTGTAGATAATTTGAATTTTCAGCATAAATTATCGCTAACTGCAAACAATGACTGCTTTTATTACCTCCTTTCCCACTCTCATGCCTCTGATAGCCTCTTCTTGCCTTATTGAGCTGTCCAGAGCCATCCGTGTATGCTACCGAGGAATAACAATAGAGTGCATGTATCCTTCTTCTCCGATTTCTTCCTGCTTCAGCACACGTCCTAGTTGCAGTAGAGGAGCGTGGGGCCCTTTGTTCCATCCTGCCCAGATAGCTTAACCCCCAAAATAACCATACAGAAACTGTATTCATTTAAACATTGCCTGTCCCATTGTTTTTAGCCTCTTATTGGCTAATTCTCATATATTGATTTAACACATTTTTAATAATCTGTGTTCACCACGAGGTTAGGACTTATGGGGAAAGATTTAGCATGTCTAACCTGGTGGCTGGCTCCATGGCGGCAATCTCTGACCATGCTTTCTTTTTCCCAGAATTCAGTTCTGTCTACTCCACCCACCAAAGGGCTGCCCTATCAAAAGGCCAAGGCAGTCTCTTTATTCAACCAATGAAAGCAACACGCAAACAGAAGAATCCCCTACACTACTAGGTGGTCTCTTCATTTCTGTGACTTACTCCAAACACTGTCAGAACTTACCCTGACACCTGTCTACTGTCACCTGGATCTATTGATCTTAACCCTTAACCAACACCTAAAGCCCCACCTGTCCTCTCATCATCTAGTCTCATCTCTCACCTGACGCCTTCCCTCCTTAATTTTATAACTAGGGATGGTACCACCACACGTACAACCCAAGGGGGAGAAAGGGAATCTTTTGACCCTGTCTTTCCTACTGAATGCCTTTTCCACCAAGCGTATTGTTTCTGCTTCATTAACTTTTATTCAACCTGCTTTCCAGCCGTTCACCTCACCCCCTTAGCTCTCATATACCTTATTATCTATCATGTGTTCCTAAGCTATTAACGACATCCACTCTCGCCTTCTACACTCTCTTTCATACCCAGGCAGAACACCCACCCTAAGCCTCAAACCTGTCGTACTGAACCTATGTTAAAATTTCCTGAAGGTTCTCCAAGAATGGAAGGGAAATCCTGAGTCCATTTCACAAGGGCAAACATCTACAGCTAGGCGTCTTGGCATGGTCCCCATGGCCCTTCAGTTTTGTCTCCTGTGCTCCCTGCCCCAACTCCATCCTCTGGTCACCGTGGGCCCTGTGAAGCTCACATTCTCTTTGGAAGGCTTTTCTGTGTGACATCACTCCCCTTTTGTGACACTCTCCTGTCCCACTACCTTCCTTCCTGTGTAGACAGGCCTGCTCATCCTTCAGCACTTGGCCCCCAGATTGCCTTCTCCAGGAAGATTTCACTGTGCTGTGTTTAGTCTTTCCCGTTTTCTCCCACTCCTTGAGAGCAATCAGAGCCTTCAGTCTGCTCCTGTGTGTAGCCCCAGAGACCAGAGGGGGACATGACACAAAGTCAGAACAGGGTGAATACTTTAGAAATCCATAGCAAATTTGTAGTGACAGTCACCATGATTTCTGATCTCCATTTGTTGAAAATTATGTTTTTCAGGACTAAAGAGATGGCTCAGTACTTAGCACTGGCTGTTCTTTCAGAGGCTGGAGTTCAATTCCCAGCACCCACTTGGCATCTCATGGCTGTAACTCCAGTCCCAGGGAATCCAGTGCCCTCTTCTGGCCCCCTCAGGCACTAGGCACACAGTCAAACACGCAAGCAGAGCAAACACAAAGTAAAGTAAAATAAAATTCTGCTTTACAAAGTTCTTCTTCATGCCTTCCTAATATGTCCCTCACAGTTCTTTGTTCACAACTCTCCGTGGCATGAAGCCCAGAAGGCTCAGGCTGTTGTCTTATCCACCAGCTGCTTGAAGACTGGAGTCATCCTCATCCATCTTGGAACTCTGACCACTGTAGAACCAGAGCATAACAACACCGATGCCAGCCAGATACCCAGAATAATAGAAGTGAATTCCCTCCTGGAACCACAACCTGCAGAGAGCATGCTTTGGATTCTTTTGTGAGCAGTTAGTTAGTGCTCAGCACGGTCATGGTCGAGGCTCCTGCCAGCAACTCCACCTGCACATTCTTCAACCCCTGACTTTGCAGCGAAGCTTCAATGTTACACCAGAAGCTTCCTAACAATGTCGTTCCTCTTACAGAAGTCACCACTGGCAAGCCCTCTTCATCTTTCCACTCTGTGTGCTTTCTTGTCTATGACTGGGACATTTTTTTTAAAGTGAGAAGCCTTGCTATGGCATGGAGTCTGGATTTTCCTCTATTGAATATCACCCCACTCCTCCACAGCTGTTTGGAGTATCACACTCTGTCATTTAAATATTAATATTATGGAAACAGAAGAGGAGAAAGTCATCAGTTATGAAATATTGAAGGAAATTAAGATTAATAAATGGTGACAAGCTCTAGAGAGGGAATAAAAGCTGAATTGCCCCGGACTATTTTCAGAAGTTGTTTGAACAGTGAGTGTATCTTGTGGAAGGTCCCATGACTGTGATCGCTCTAAAGACCTGATTTCTGCAGACAGATCTGAAGGGACAACTCAAACCCTGGCTTTTCCCTCAGAGCACTTGCACTCAACATGTGCACATGTAGGGGAAACTTTGAAGGCGAGATGCTGGAAAGTGTCTACAAATTAGGTCTTCTTGATCAAATCTCAAATAACTACTGTCTAGAGGGAAAACAAGTTTGAGGCCTAAAAATAATCTTTTAATGTAGTACTGGGGATTGAATCCAGGGACTCGTGCATGCCTGCTAGCCCTGAGCTACATCCTCTAGACCTACATTTACTTAATTTTAAATTTTTTTGAGAATTTTATACATACATGCTGCATTTAAGCCATGTCTTCCCATCCTTCCCCCCTCCAACCCCTTTCATGTTCCCTCCCCACTCTTTTTCAAATTTATGGCATCTTCTTTAAATATAATTGTCTTTGTTAGGGTTACTATAGCTGTCATAAAACAACATGACCAAAGCAACATGGGAAGGAAAGGATTTTTTTCAGTGTATGCTTCCATATCCCTGCCCCTCATCAAAGAAAGTCAGGACAGGAACTCAAGCCAGTCCAAACCTGGAAGCAGGTGCTGATGCAGAGGCCATGAAGGGGTGTTGCTTACTGGCTTACTCCTCATGGCTTACTCAGCCTGCTTTCTTATAGAACCCAGGGCCGCCAGACCAGGAACAGCACCACTCATAACATCCTGGGTCCTCCCTCACCAATCACTAATGAAGAAAATGCCTTGCAGCAGATAAGATGGAGGCATCTTGTCAGCTGAAGTTGCCCTCCATTCAGATAACTCTAGCCTGTATCATGTTGACAGCAAACTAACCAGCACTATAATATATTTATTTATTTTATTTGGGCTCTTAATTGCCAATAATAATTAATTGCCTGTAGTTCTTCATCAAAGACTAGGATTTTCTGAGACTCCCCGCCCCCCATCCATATCGGAATTTCCACTGGCATCACTGTGCAGCTCTTATTTAGGTGATTGTATTTTTGCAGCTTTGTGTATGCAGTGTCCCTGTCATACACAGAAGACATTATCTCATGGCAGATATCCCAGTCCTCTGGTTTACAAGAACTTCCTGCCCCCTCTCCCATGGTATTCCCTGAGGGTTAGGTGCAAGGGTTGGTCGTAGATGTATCACTTGGGGTTGGACACCCTACACTCAGTTGTCCTTTGGGTTTTGACCAGTTGTTGATTTCTGCAGTGGTTTCCATCTGCTGCAGAAAAGGGGTTTCTTTGATGAGAAGCAAGAGCTGCATTTACGAATGGACACAAGGGTAGGTGTTTAGAATGTAGTTAGAAATAACAGTGACTTGTAAAACTGGAAACCTTAGCTTTTTATATAATAAAACTGTGTAAATTTTTCACTTTTTCGCAATTTAAATGACACTGGCATGCCCCAGGTCATAGCTGGACTTGGCTCAGTTAATCTCAGAAGGAGGGGTCCCTGTATGTCCTGTCTAGGATTCTCACAGCTTCTCCTCTGCTAAGATGTCAGTGAAAACAGAAGGCAATGTACACACACACACACACACACACACACACACACACACACACAGAGCTCCCTGGACCAGCTCTATCGGCACCACCTGGGAACTTGTGAGAATGGGGATCCTCAAGGTCCAGACCCAGTCTATGCACTCAGAAACTGGAGGTGATACCTCAGTAGCTCTTGTGCAGCTTTTCAGAAAATTCTAATGCATCTTCAGGTTCAAAAACCATTGACTCTCAATCTTGGCTTCACATTTGTATCGCCTGGAGAAATTCTTTTAAAAAACTGAAGCCAGGGTTCCGTCCTCCAAGATTTTGACTGAACCGGCATGGGTGAGGCCACTGTGCTGATATGTGCTCAAAATTTCCAGATGACTCTAAGCACAGTTGGGTTAAGAGTTTAATCCAGGCTGTGGTTTCTCTTTCATTTCCTTCCTTCCTCCCTTCATAATTAGTATATACTTTTTGTAAAAACTGATACATGTATGCAAGATATTTTATCATTTTTTCCTACATCCCCTTATTCCCTGTCTTCCTCCCTCTATCCACTCCCAAAGAGATACTGTCTACTTTGATGGCCCTTTACAAAAAATCTAGATTATACATATAAGAGAAAATATGCAATATTTTTTTCTGAGTCTGGCTTATGGCTTGACATGATTTTGTTCATTATGGTTGAATAACGCCCTGTTGTTTGTATATAACATATTTTCTTTAACTATTCCTCTGTTGATTGAAATCCAGGCTGATTCCTAAATTTGGTTATTGTGAAGGTGCACATGGCTATGCCATTATGTCTGTGATGTGCTGATTTGGGTGCCTTCATTTGTATGCCCAGGAATGGTAGAATATGTTGACAGAAGTTTCTGTCCCGCCCGGTCCCACAGCTGTTCAGTCCCAAAGAAACACACAGAGATCTACATTAATTATAAACTGGTTGGCCTATTAGCTCAGGCTTCTTATTAACTCTTATATCTTACATCTTAACCCATAATTCTTGTCTGTGTTAGCCACGTGGCTTTCTCTGGTGGGCTCTGTTTGCTAGAAGCAAGCAGAGGCATGATTCTTTTAAGAGAAGGTTTCCTGTAGCAGCAAAAACTGAATGGCTCCATTAAGAAGGCTTCCTGGTTAGCCAGCAGGAATGGCTCTGATTCTTTGAGGAGGTCCTGCTACAGAGCATTTAAATGGGGTCTGTGAGCAGAGTGCTACAACTTGCTTAATGGCAACATAGACCCACTGCATACCTAAAAATGGGGCGATGCACATGGCTCTCAGAGGCAGCGAACATGCTTCCACTCTGTTGAACTGGGCAGGGCAAGCAGGCAAGGCCACTGTTGGCCCTAGCCACGCCCACTTAGCATTAAAAAAAAATGAGTGGTTCTGGTTATTACAGATACACAATAGGGGCAGATTCAGATTAAAAAAAAAGACCTCTAAATGGATCACATTGTTGGGGAAATGTACATAGGCTTGGGAAAGAAAAGAAAATGAGTATAAAGAGTTATTTAATAAAGTAAATTTTTTTAAAAAAAATTAAAACACAGTCTTTAAAGATACAGAGTACAGACAGTCATAGATAAAAAGGAGTAAATAAAAGTAAGCCACATAAAGATGGACTATACACCAAGAGTCTGGATTATGTATATTATTGTGTTTTCTTTGAATTTTTTGGCTGCAGAGAGACATTTGATTCTGGGGACTGCTAAACTAAACCAACATATATGTCTTAAAGGTTTTTTTACTTTAAAACTTGAGTCTAAGAATATGTTCCTTTGGTAAAGAGGCTCTTCTTTTGTTTCCACAGAGGATGAGAATCTGTGTCCTTCCAGATTAATGTGGTTTGATTATTCAAGACTCCCCCAAAAGGTCACCATAAACACCCCTAAAAATACTTCACCCAACAAAAATCAGGAAGTAGTTTGGACATAACTAAACCTAAATTCCCAAATATTATTTATAAATGCTTGTTTATATTTAAAGAGGGATATACTATAAAGATGGATACTTTGCATTGGTATGGATCTTGGTTTATTCATATAAATTTTAGGTCATTTTTGTTATATGTTTATTTCTGCTCTTGATTAAGGTATTGTGTTTGTGCAGCTCATCTAAAAATATATTGCATAATTAAGAAATATAGGTTAATAGAAAGTCATCTATAA